AGGATGAGGTGGTATTTCGGCCATATCGAAATTGTTTTTTTTTTTTTCACAAAACTGCATCGGAAACACTTTTTTCACATCACGGGAGTCACATGATCAACAACTGGCTGTTTCTACTGGCGAAAAAGACGACAACGAAGAAGATAACAGGAAGTAGAAATAGTAGTATTATCACAGAAGTAGTATAAAATAGTAAACGCACCGACTACAATTTCTCAAAAACACAGCATACGTAGCCGCTCCCAAGTAGGGACTTGACGCTGGAAAGCCTTGATAAAAGACGCCGACGTCTCCTCTGATGATGAGCGCTAGTGTCACATTAGCAACATGCTATGTGTTTACATCCATGGCCGCCATGTTTGTAATGACTTATCGTGAGAACAAACGTATTCATTTAATAGCACTTCTTACATGGAAGCACTGCAGTTGCAAAACTGTTTTTCGACATTAACAGAATATCGACAAAGTTTTGCGCACATTTGCAATGGAAACGCAGCTAGTGTAGTAATGTATCACAGTGGAGGGTTTTATTGTGTTTTAAATTTCAAAAGGGTTTTTGACGTAAAGATTATATAATTTTATGCACACAAAAACAAGAAATCACAACTGTGAATGTGTTTACGAAACACGTTTAGCTAACGAGCTGCTCGGCTAAAGGAGGCATTCAGTTTTATCACCTTTTACATAAAACTTGTCAAATACACAATCCAACAACTCAAACAGTTTTGCAGACAAGCTGTGATCAGCGCATTGAGCCACAGCAACACGGTGATATGTTTCGCAATCTTATGCTAACGTTAGCTCGTTCATTTCAAGATAGCATAAACTTTACCTGGAGCTGCGATCATGTTAGATGCCTCCACRCTCCACATTGCGGTCGTCTTTACGGCATCCTAAGTACTTTCATGTAGCTGGATTTATTATTTTATACAGGGGAAAAGTTTGGGGAACTCTGTTCTTCAGCCACCACACAACCCCTGCAGAGCTGCGAGTGCCGACAGGCAGTTCTGTGGGAGTGCGTGGGGGAAAGTCTGCATCAGCACAGACTGGAGGAAAAATAAACAAAAAATGCTTATACCATAGGCATGGTATGACAGAAAATTGTAGTGGTTTTCAAACCGTTATTTTTTCATATCACGGTATATGTTGAAACTGTATTTGGCCCATGCCTATGTGAGTCATTAAATGGGAGTTTTGTGTCTCTCTGTGTGCCTGGATGCCAAATTCCAGCAGCTCCCCTCCTTTATCCTTTTCACTTTATCAAAAACCTACAATATGAAATTTCGGTGTTTCTGTGATTAACTGAAGACATGCAGTTTGTAATTTTYAGTCTTCTCTGTTAGATATATTTTGTTTTCAGTGTTTTGACATTTTAGCTTCTGTCTTGTTCCCAGTTACGCAGAGCTGATTGCCGACTGGCCGGTGGTTGTGCTCGGGGTGTGCACGGTGCTCATTGTGGTTTGTGCCTTAGTGGGCATCCTAGTGCCAGACCTGCCAGATTTCTCTGACCCGCTTCTGGTAAGTACAGGCTCGTGTAGCTCTTACTTTCTGTTTTATTAACTTAATAAATGCAGATTAGCCTCTGAGTTTTATCAATAACATGGTTTTGGAGCAGGAAATGAATCAAATTTGTCTTGTTTTCCATGATTAGCAGTATCAATTCATTTTAATTTTCTTGACAAACAATTTGAAACATGTATTTCTTCATTAATTTAATTTGAAACATGTATTTCTTCATTAATTTAGCATCTAAGTTTTAAGTGGATCAAAAAACTACAGGGAGATGAATAAAGTCACCCCGGATTTACACTACACGCGTCTCCACTCTGCTGCGCAGTTCGCAGCTGTTTGTTTGTGTCCCAGTTTATACAGCCCCCGCTCCGATCTGGGGCGACACACAGAGGAGGAGCATGTGCAGGAAGGAGATCAAGTGATAAATCCAGTGATAAAAATAATTAATTCTGTGAAAGATGAACTCCAAATACAGCTGAAAACAATGATATAAAGGCTTTTGATATCTATGTTGAAACTGTCTCGCTGTCGTCCTTTTTGAAACTTCTGATTTCAAAATAAAATCCACATGTATGTGTGTACACATATGCTTCATCTACGTTTCTATCTGCTTCCCAAACAGAACGATACATTCTGACAGCATTTGTGTAGAAATATGTCCGTATATTTTTTAAATAGCTGGGATTTCGACATTATTCAGACAAATTATCCCGCCTAATAGTGTCTTATTTTGAAAATACGGATGGTGCGACGTAGTCTTTAAAAATTGACTCCGTCGCAGCTCCGGGATCCGGCAGAAATAGGATTGGATCTAATTTTACCGGATCGCCGTCCGCCCACCGCCGCAGCCAGTGTAAACACTCTCATTGATTATAATAGGTGTGTATTTGCTGCAGAGGTGGGACCGGAGCGGAGCCGGAACACATGTAGTGTAAATTAGGGGTCATATTTTTGGATATTTACAACCATAAATCTAAATTATCATCATAAAAGCCTAAACTTTCTTTCACGATTGAAACCTGTTTTATTCATTGTCATTTTCTTTTTTGCCTTTAAGGGTTTCGAGCCTCGAGGAACTGCAATTGGCCAGCGACTTGTCACATGGAACAACATGGTCAAAAATACAGGCTACAAAGCTACTCTGGCCAACTACCCCTTCAAATATGCTGATGAGCAAGCCAAAAAGTAACTTCACACACATGTTTTATGTTGTGTAGACGTGTGAGTGACTGAAGTTGTTTTTAAGACCAAGTTTGAGTGTACAAACGGCTGAGCACAGCTGTGTTTGAGCGGTTTGGGGAGTCGTTCCTCTAATGCAAAGGTCGGCGATTCAATTCCCCCACTATTTACTTACATGTTGAAGTGTCCCTGGGCAAGACACTGAAACCCCACTGCCTCTGATGTGTGTCCCATCAGTGTGTTAGTGTGATTTAAGCACTGTTTAGTCTCTATAAATAGAGAGATCTGAATGAAAGTGTGTGAATGAGGGCACAGATTATAGTGTAAAAAGCTTTTAGTATTCTGGTTGGATATGAAGGTGCTTTATAAGTACATTTACTATTTACAAGTTGTACAAGACGTACAGCGGGTAAAATAAGTATTGAACACGTCACCATTTTTCTCGGTAAATATATTACTAGAGG